AGTAATCCACTAAGAAGAGTATATGCAGATTTCAAGTCTGGTTTTGAAATCAAGTGCAGTAGTTATATATAGAAATCTTTTAGTTCCCAGCAAAGTCACCAAAGCTCATCCCCAAAGCTTCTTTTGCTGGGTATGTAGAGACCATCCCAGAAAAAAATGTGGGGGGATCACAGGATAGAGAAAGAGAGTTGATTCATCACTGAAGGGAATTAGTTTAGGAAAGAAATGTCTACAAATGTTGGCATGATTTTTCTTTTTCAGATAAAGTATGTCACAAACAGGAATAGGTTCCTGTGCAGGAAACAGCCCTTCCGTAAAAGGGGCCAGGGAACAGAGTGTGTTAGGCCAAGACTGTGGCAGAGCAAGCCAAACAAGTACAGTGGCTACTGATTTCCTTCCTCTGCCATGCATAATTCATTGCAGAACTGCAGAGAAGCAAATGCTCCAGCTTTCAACACAGTTATCACATCTGATTCAGACAGAGTAATGTATGCTCTCACCCTAACAGATATTTAGATCAAAAGGTAACAGATATGGAATAGCAAACAGGGGAAGATGAATACATTTCCCAGCAAAGTAATTTTCCCAGGAATATTACCAGAAAAATGAAAGTTCTTTTCTGAAGAAAGTTTTTCAAGAACAGATTAGCATCAGGCTATCGACCGCTTTGACCAGTAAAATTTTCATTTTTGTGTCTCCAGCAAGGTAATGCCTGTGAAGCAGGATGTGCTATGATCTGCAAAACTAAAATTTACTCCTATTGATCTTACAAGCACTGCCATCAGATGGAGAGAAAACCCTTCATGAACTGTGGTCTCATACTCAGAGAAACCATGGACAAGCTCACAGACGAGAAGGAGAGGTGGCACACCTGTCTGGCTGGAGCCAGCAGACAGAGAGAGAAAGGATATAGCTGAGCACCTCAGAAATTCAGAAGAATCTGTAGCCAAGTATTTCTAGAGTGAAATGTTTTGGGGTGAGGCTTCTTCGAAACACAGCTTTTCTCGAAGCTTTCAGGAGTGTTAGCTAGTGCACGGTATCTCAGCCCCTGGGAGGTTTGTGATTGTTTGCAAAAGGTGTTTTTGGTGTGTCTCAGCTACAGCTTGTAATGGTGAGGGGTCCCTTGCTGGAGTATTGGCAGCTCCAGTGTGCTTGGAGCCAGAAGAGGCAGTGCCAAATGGCAGGGATTGTGGGTTGCTTTACCACTTGGCACCTGTCCAGCAGATACTGCAATTTCAGGAGATCTCGCTGCCAGGCAAAACAACAAAGACTTGCCACCACATTAACTGGTTAAGATTAATTTGCTGTAATAAAAAAAAGGTCACTTTAATTAATAGTTTAGTGTAAGCCTCTAAATTGAAATCTTGATTGAGGGAATTAGAATAACCTTTGAGTGAACTTAGGTGGAGTTATCATTTGAGCACCAAAATGAGAAACATAAAGTGTGCATTGCCATGAGCGCAGATTAAAGAGTATCTTGGATGGGAGCACTGGGGAAATGAAGGAAGAATTAAAAGAGACAACACAAGTTATTGAAGAAGAGATTTTCCTTGTGTCTTAGCTCCCACTTGAACCCAAGCATTAAACTCACAGAAAATCTCCAGCGCATGTCCATCCTCAAACACAAACCTGAGAGCAGACGGTTGAGTAAATTCTGAGGCTAACTCTTAGCATGACTGAAGAACATGGTTTAATCAACCAGCAGAAATGTTCTCAGATAGCTCTGACATAGCTCTTATGCCATTTTACACTGTAGTTACAAAAAGCAACAACAAAACATCAGAAGGAGTTGCCTCTTGTATAAAACATGGCAACAATGCACTGGAAACAGGAGAAATTGAACTCATTTGGGAGACAGGAGTTTTCTGATCTTGGAGTTTTTTCTTTTAAAGCTATGCTTTCACCAAACATTAGGGTGTGGACTCTGATGAGCAGATATGCATGGCAATAGAGAGCTTCTGCCTTTCAGTAGCAGATTGAAAGGTACAGATGGAGACAGAGGACAGCAACTGCATTGGGATATTTGATGCCAACTAATACTTGCAACAACAGCCTGCTCCAAACACACTTGCAGCTGAGCCTGTGGAGTTGTTTGTTCCTAACCCACTGCCTACACATCCTCTTTATATACTGTGCAGGGGGTCAGGCCCCATGCATTGCCCAGCACACCATATCAGGAGAGGCACTTGAGTCCTTTTATCCTTGTCCATTACAGAGCTCTTCCTTCCGGATCAATTATTTTTAAGAGGTATCAAATGCATAAAGCTCATTAGTTGACATTAGTTGACATTAGTTCAGACTTAAGCACCTATTAGATATTTTTCTCTCTCCTGCTCTTAGCCATAATTTCCTCCCTCAGCCACAAAGGAAAAAGGCTCAAGAAACAGCCAGGAAACCTGGGCCTGTGAGAATGTGTAGGAGTGAGGTCGGGTCACTGGAGAGTCCAGTGCAAAGGGGCTTTGGTCCCAGCAGTGACAGTCCCTGGTGCTGGGAGTATGACTGCCAGGGTCTCATTCTGAGCAGTCAGGCTGGGAAGGTAGATCCCTTAAAAAGGCTTTCTGGTTTTTGTTGTGAGTTTTGCTGTGCAGTTTTCACAGCAGAGCAGCAAAGTTGGAAACTAAGTATTTCCCAACAAAGTTGCTGTGAAGGGTAAGTCTGGAGTCCCAAATAGCTTTCCAAAAGTATTTTACCATTCATATTTGAATAGGAATTATATAGTTATTTTGCCTGTTTGTGTTTTTTTAACATTGTTTATTTTTCATGTAGAGCTTTATATTTCAGCAGAGGGCAGTGTGACCATACTTAGAATTCAGTCCATTGATTGGGTCACATGAAAATGGAAAAATATTATTCTGTTTTTCCTCAGGCCTTAAACCACTGCGCTATACATGTAGGGTTTACTTATTCTCCAGTTTAATCACTGCCTCCTCATCATAGCTAAAAGACAGAAAGCAAGTGAGAAAAACTACTTGTTGAATTAACATATTTAAAAATAATATCATCTCCTCACTTCTCTGTAGGGAAAAGTTAGCTAAGTAAAGGCTTGGACATTTTTCCTCTGGGGTGCCATATTTTTCCACAGTACAAGGATGTACTGACTAGGCATTTTCACAGTACAATGTAGGCATTTAACAAAGAATTTACAGAAGCTACTGTGTCAGAGGATATGAACACAAAGGGCAAAACCAGCAGATTGTCCCTGCTGTAGCCCAAGGTAAACTGGGCACGGCACCTCCAGTACCTCCAGCTGCCAGGCTGCCCCTGCTCTGTCAGGTGCTGTGAGCTGAGCAGCTCCTGTGTGAATAGGAAGCAAAGGTGTTGAAACAATTAGGTCAGGATAACAAAAAGAAAATAATACAGGCTAGTAAAACCATCCTTTATATTTTCTGCGTGGAGTCACTACTGCCCAAAACTTAAGTTAATTTAATGCTATTTTTTCCAAAAGTGATATTTGTATTTCTCACAGATCATCCATGACTTGGCAGGATTGCTTTGAGTTCCTCAGATAGGAAATCTCACTCAAGATATCTCCATTTGGTTTGGATGGTAGCGTATGTCTCAGGAAACACAATTTGTTTTTTTAAGAATGACCCTCTTCTTTCCCTTCCTCTCTGGATTAAACATGAGCTTTTTGTAAAACAGAAACACTAGAACCTCATGTTTTAGACACTGGGTTTTTAATCCTGGGTTCTGCAGGGTGCTGTGGTGATAGATACCTATTACTTTCTGTGGCACGTGATCCACTCCATTTGGTTGTCCTGCTGGTTGGTTCTGATCCATTATACAGGGCAAAAAGACATTGGGAAGGTTGGGAGAGACCTGGGGAGACCCTGGGAGGCTGTTTGTAGTTTACTGCTATCTGATGTCAGTACTGGAATTAGGCAATACAAAAAGAGGGCTTTCCTGTGGGCTCTGTGGTAGAGCCCTGCCCTGCTGGAGTCATATGTCCTGAGAATTTTTTTCTAGCCCCATGGATATGCAATACACCTGACAAACACTATAGTTATGCACTGTTTTTAGGCAGAAGTTTATGGCATATTTGCCTTGTTGAAAGTTTGCCTTAACAAGAAGCTGTCAGCAGGATCCTTCTAATGAGATAACTTTTTTCTTCAAAATGTACTAAATAACAAATCTACCTGTTTGTAGAAGTCAAACAACAGTGACCTCTATCTAATTATTGTTCCTATTCCACCCACAGGAAGAGTTGCAGAGGTACAACTTGTCTGAAATTTTTTATGTCTTTGATTTGGGGGTAAGCATGACAGCTGAGGCTAACAGGATCCTCAGTGACAATGTGAGAACAATGCCTGTTGTTTTCACTTGTGTTTTTCATTTGACATGTTACCACCCTTGTTGCTTTCAGAAGATTGATGGCTTTTACTGTGTGACTCCACTTGTCCCCCAATGCCCCACAGAAATAACCTCTGTGGCCATTCTGCCCTGTATGGCCAAACCAAGCAATTTAAAAAATGTGCTTACCCCCATTTATGATTCTAAATGATGCCATTCCCATTGCATTTAAAAGCCTCTCTCTGGTGTCTTCTTGTGAGCCTGTAGGTAGTGCAGGTCTCTAAGAAAGCAGTGTTGCCTTTGTACACTGACATTTACAATATAGCTGCCACTTACTATTCACTCTTTTTGTCTTATAAAATACACAAATAGATGCTACAGTACCTTTTATTTGTCACCCCCAGGCTTGTATAAAATGAGAAGCATGGAAAATGAGGTTCAATGTTTAACTTTTTCAGAATTTTAAAAAATTATTTTACATAATGTGAGAAGAAGGAGGAAGAGATACACTGTGCATTTGTATTAGCCTGAAAAGGAACAGGTGATGACCAGAGTGATGAGAATAAACTATGGCATGGCTGGCAAACACCTCCCTTCATGTGCAGATGGACTTTATGTAGCCATGTTGTCATCTATATCTATGGATTTAAAAAAAACCCAACAAAATGGAACAAAAAAAATTTAATTGAATTATAGTAATTTTTAGCACATCCATTGCAACAGAAATGAGTTAGAAACTCCAGTCTGCCAGTGCAAATAGCAGTTCAGTCATGTAAGATCATCCCCACATATTTCTTGTGGATAAAACTGCAAATTGCCCCCATGAAAGCTCAGCTGTGCCCTGTCAAGCTGCATCAGACTGCAGAAAAAAATGGGTTTGCTATAGTTGCATCTCATGGAGGTTTGTCCTAGATGACGAGCTGGTCTGAGAGGGGACAGTATTAAAGATGAGAAGCTGTGATACAGAGCAAGCAGTGGAGACATGGGAAACACAAGTGCAGGTTTGAGGAGTCCCATCAGCCACAGGAACAACTGGGGGGCCACAAGCAGGAGTGGGGGAAACAGCATTGCTCACAGTGGTCATGGGTAGCCGTGGCTGGCAGTGGAACTGGTTCTCCCAGAGCCAGAGCAGGATGTCCAGATGTCCCCAGGGCGAGCAGATTTCTGAGAGCCACCCTCATCCACACACTTGTGGCACACTTCTGCCGTGGCCATTGGTAGACAAAGGAGACCCTGCAGGGCAGAAGAGAGGGCAGGGAGATTAAGGTAGGGAAGTAAGGAAAGAGAAACATGATCTGGTTTGTCATTGGTTCCCCATCAGGTCCTTTGCTCTGCCCATTTCCTTAATTTCCTTACATACTCCTCCTTGCAGGGGTTGCCTCTCTTTCAGTGTCCAAATCAATCATGCTAGTTAGACTGATGACTCTGGATAAACAATTTAATTTAAACCATCAAGCCTATTTGATTCTTGCCACACAAATGGTTTAAATGGCTCCATTCTGAGCTTAATGCTCTTCCCTTAAGAAATATTGCAGATTCTCTGAGCATGTTTTGATTTAAAAGGGATACAAGCATGTTACTAGATTGTAATTATTCATTTCATAATCAATTTTACCTAATTTAGATCTGATACCTGTGAAGATGATTTCTTACCTCACATTTAACATAGGCTGTGGTATTTTAATTTGTGCACAAATCCAGAAATTTTTGCTGACTTTATTCTGGTCTTCTCCATCTTCCAATCTTTGATGCAGATTTTTTGTTAGCCCGCTCAGCACTGGTTTTTTGTTGCAAATTTTTGTAGCACCTGCTGCTGTGTACAAACACCTAGTCTAGTTGTTAGAAACTCTCAGGATGAGCACACATACATTTCACTGTAAAAGGGAGGTAGCTGAAAATCACATACCTGTTTTCTTTATGATGAGGTGCTAGTAAATGTTGTCAGGCCCTGGATATTGTGATTTAATATGACTTGATTCCCCAAGAGGATTTTTACTTCTCTCAGTCTAAGCTGGTTACAAGGCAATCAAGTCCTTATGAAAATTTGTTGAGATGGATGAAGAGCATTGTCTTTGTGCTTAGGCTTGGAAACTTTGACCTGAAAAGAGTGGTGTGGTAAGGAGAGTAAAATCTTGAGTCAGCCCAAGATCAGCTGCCTATAAAAGCATGTCATTCAAACCCATCAGTTTACAATCTAAGCACATGTTTAGCCCAGCAGGCAGCACTGTATTATAAACACTCTCAAACACACTGGAGAGCCAAGAGCAGCAGATTATGTTTACCTCAAGACCCAGCTTTGCTACTCTACAATGCTGATGGCATGAAGATCTCCAGGCGTGTTCACAGGGAATCATGGAATCACAGGACATCTCAGCTTGGAAGGGACCCACAGGGCTCATTGAGCCCCACTGCCTGGCCCTCAGAGAATTACCTAAAACTAAACCATATGGCTCAGAGCATCCAGGTCTTCCTTGAGTTCTCTCAGGCTTAGTGCTGGGACCACTTCCCTGGGGAGCTTGTTCCAGTGACTCTGTTTAGTGCTATCAGGATCTGATGAAGGTTTTTACATTTTGAAAAAAACCTTTAGGTGGAAAAGGCATCAATTCTAACATGTGCTGCTTTTTAACAGCTTAATTTCTCAGCTTGTTCTTGCTTTGCAATTGGTGTTTTCATGTTCCAAGCAAGAGTTTTGATGGCTATCCAGTTTTCAGGAGAAAACTCTTAGGCGAGTAGTTATTACAAGACAAATATTTTAAAACAAGTTATTTCCTGCAGTTCAGATTCTGAGATACAGTCCATAAGACAGAGTAAAAATGGATGCAGACAGATAGATATATAAAGTTACAAACACTTGTCAGGATCCTGGTGGAAACTTTAGCTCTCAGTCCTCACATTCAGCATGTACCACAGTGGCTCTTTTGGGCCCTCATTTGCTCTATTTTAAGTATCATAGGATTCATGAAATTATCTCTTGTACACGGGAGATAATTACATGAAAGGTTTTGCATCCAAACTCCGATTTTGGTCTCTTGTTGGTGCAGAAGGCTCTTCTCTGTTCAGCTCAATCCTCATGTATCACATAGAATGTTGATAAGAGGACTTCCTTTCCTGGAAAGAAATTTTTCTGTCAAATCACTCTCCATCAAGTAAATAAATACTGAATGGAGATTTTGGGGAAAAAAATATTTTGAAGCAAGATTTATTTTTTCATCAGCTATGTTCAAACTAGTCAAGTCAACCATGCATGTCACTATTCCATTGCCTCTGTTAATGCTGGACTTCATAAGTAACTGAAGTTTCCATATGATGTATTTCTGGGGTACTTATGGAGCAAATATTTTTTACTTTTTCTGTCCTTAGTTTTTTTATTCTTGTCTCTAAGTTTTCCATTATTTTTCTAATGTTTTTCCTTTCTTCTTCTTTGCCAAAATGGCACAAAATTGACTTATACAGAAGACTGCATTCTATACCTAAAGTCTGACCTACCAACAAGATTATTGGATTGCAGATTCTGCAGGTATTTGCAATAGACAGGTCTTGCAAAGAGCAGTATCAGCAGCCCTCATGTGCTAGGATTCTTCTAATCAGGTAATCTAACCTAATCAGCTGTAATTGAAGCCACTGCTCTGATATTTGAATAAGAAAAGGGAAAAAATGAGGCTCCATGCTGAGGGGTTTAAAGGCTGACTGGCCTTTGCTCCTCACTGATTTCCATAGATGACTGTCAGACAGCCCTGTGGGTTTTACTGGCAGCATCTCCATAACTATCTTCTTTTCCTTCTGACATGGGTGTCTACCACATGGGTGCTCAGCTCCTTGGATGTTCTACCTGCAGCCCCTTTGCAGCTTTCTTCTAGCAGCTCTGCACCCTTTGACCCTGTGGGCTGTGGGGACAGTGTTTCCCAGGGTCTCCAGTGCAGTGTTTTACCTGTGCTGTGGCCACACTGCTGTCGCTGTGCTGTAGGCCTCACAGCCTTCTCCATGGCCAGCCCTGTGCTGTTGTTACAGCAGATTCTCCTGGGAAGCAGTTGCCAGTGGGATGAGATTCATTCCTCTGTTTCCCTACCCTGCAGCTGCTGCTCTGGCTTCCATTTGGAGCCCCAGGAGATCCAGTAACACACCAGCACAAAGCTCAGCAGAGCTCTGCCAAATGTCCTTGTGGCCCATAAATTCTGCATTCTTTGTGTCTGATATGATTGATACATCCTTCTTCTTAAGCTTTGTTAACTCCCACCTAGGTCTGAGATCATCGAAGCATGTCAAGCCCTAAACTTTAACAAAGCGGTTCTACCAAAAACTAATTTATCTTTTGAACACTTGGACATCAAAAGCACCACCACCCAGCAGAGACTTCAAACAGGCCCTGATGAAAACCGGTTGTGTTAGTATGGGAAAAAGCTTTGAGGCAAATCACCTGCTGCATGAGGGAGGAAGGACACCCCTACTTGGCAGGATGCTCCTCTGAGGACACCACAACACTTTTTCTCCCTGCACTCCCCCCCTGCTCCTTTTTTTGCCTTATTTTCCTCTAAAAGTAATTTTGACCATTAGAATCACTACAGACTCTGCCAACATGTTTTTGTGCATGGAAATCTGTCTGGAGAAGTTTTGTATAGCAACTTTCTCCCACTATTGTGAACTGTTGTGAAGAGGTTTTTCTTGATCACTTTGTGAGAGGTTTTACATAAATTTTATGAGAAATATAAATATTCAATATTTCTATGGCATGCTTTTGCTGTAACTGCAAAAGAAATACCGATTTTTTGAAGGAAAATAAGGTACACCCATTGGAAATCTGTCACATTCAAACTTGTTATCTAGTCAATTTACGTACTGGGCTGCTGCCCCCACTAGCTAGATTTAACAGGTTTTTGCTTTGTAGCAATGCTTCTGCCCTTTGTCCTATCAGGTGCAGCTATCTTATCTATTCCTATGTGTTCCTTCCTACCTGTTAGAATACTTTAATAATTAGTACTTTAATCAGTGCTAGTGAAACCTTTTGCTGTTCAGTAATAAAAAGAGTAATTTCATTTAAATTTTGGTAGGTTAATCTTTTTTTTGTTGCAGAGCATCCACCTGTTTTTATATAAATTAAAAGTTACACACAGAAAAATACATATGTGTATTTTTACATATGTCTGACACTTCAGATTTTTTTCCTCAAGTACAAATATACATCTTAAAAGTTTTGCAGTGGAGCTAGAGAAACCCTTCAAAAATTTGGCACCTTGGCAGAGATAATTGAGCTATCTTTCTAGATAACCTGAACATGTTTATATTGGAGAATGCTTAAATTTTACAGCTCATCGCAGTCTTCTGGCTCAGTCTGAGGCTTATTTTAGAAACTAATAATATAATTTGAGGTTTTGAGTGAAGACAGAAGTGTAACACACACATGATAGTCTCCATTTGTTCTGATTGCAAGGCAGACTTTAAACTTAACCCCAGGAGGAATACCAGGCAGAAGCAGCATGGATGGCTTCAAAGATTGAAGCATGAATCAGAATTTCCCAAATTTTTTTTCAATAGTTTTAAATATCTTGAATTGCTACCTTGCACATGGCTTTTAGAACTTTTCACTCTAATTAAAGCCATGAAGTTTTTCAGCATCATTAATTTTTATGTGGACCCAAACATTGAGTATGTGGTGAAAGACTCATGCATAAATGTTTCATGCATAAACATTAAATCAGAGTTAAGTTGGCAGTCCAGTTCCTCCAAATCTTTGTTTTGGGTTATTTTTCTCTCTTTTAAAGTAATTTAACAAAACCTGGAATGCTGCATGTAGTGTCACACAATCAGCACCCACTGCCTTTGCTCTAATCTTACCACAGAACGTTGATATTCACAGCTGCATCTTATGCACAAGAAAGTTCTGGTTTCCTGAAGAAATCCATCACTAGAAAGAAAATGTTGGAAATGAAGCAGCCATAATAGTACAGGTCCAGGAGTGAGGCAAAATTTGTGGAGAATGGTGAATAGTTTTGGAGAGGGAGAACATAAGCTGTGAGTAACATAGCCCCCTTGGGAGTCAAGGTGAGAGCTAAAAATGTTTGCTGTCTCTCAAGAAATCTTTGGTTACCTGGAGATGTAAATTTCTCTTCCTCCAGAGGTACTCTTTGAATAGAAAAGCATGTGCTGCACATCTCCTTGGGAGGGGATGAGAGGCCTTGTGGTGCAGCCTGCACATCTTCACACTGCACCACTTCCATCACTCTGCTCACTCCCTCTAAGGATGGTTTGTTTTCTGCAGAGCTCCAGAGGTTTGATGCAACTTCCTGACTTCCTAGTCTGCCTTTTCCACGCTTACTTCAATCTTTCATCTCTGTTTGGATATTTCATTAGCCATCTTCAGTAATTTTATCTATTGGAGAAGAAGGGATCTACATTTGTGGGAAAAAAAAGTAGCATTTTGAAAATTAATGAAGTACAAAATAGAAACATCTGAAGACAAAGGTCTGATATATTTCTTTATGCATTAAAACATTTCTATATTAATGGCAATTTTATATAGAATACTCTGTTGTGGGACCCTTAATGTGGATCCAACTTTTTGTCCTCTTCTGTCAGCTGCTTTTCATGCAAATTAACTGTATTTTCAACAGTATGGTCTAATTTTCTCCTTTGGGTTTTTATTCTACATTATCTGCAGTGCCAGAAGCATCAGAAGCACCCTCTGTCCTGTGACTAGATGCTGGAGAAGGCCAAACCATTTCCAATCTGTAATTAATCTTCCCTTCTCTTTGATCATTTCATCAGCAGAACCCACAAATGGAAAAGAAACTATGTAAATATTTGTATTCATAGCATGGTCATGACATAGGGGATCTCTTATCACACTAGTAAAGTAGAAGCAGAGGGAAAAGAATGGGAGAGATACAGCATGGAATTCACAGAAGCCACACATTCTGGCATGCTGCTGAATAAAGGAGTGATCTTTGTGACCTTTACTGCATATGTGAAGGGTGATTCAGACACCTTCTGCTAGATGACTGACTTTCCAAGTCCTCCATAGTCAAAAAGTAGTGTCAGGGAAGGTTCTTAAAAACATACAAAATTGATTGATTCTCTACAGAACTAGGCAAATACGTGTAATTAGTGTACAGAATGATGTTGAAATGCTATTAAATATTTTTTTAAAAAAGTCATTCTTGTCTTGCTAAATGATGAACTGAGTAGTAGCCTAATTTTTTTAATGAATCCATTATCAAGTAAATTGTTCCATCAATCTCTAACTATAAATTTGAAGCTTAAATGAAAAACTCTACTAACATTTTGTCTGTGTCCTCTCACTTATGACACTGAGAAACATTGTTCTGAGAACAGAGTAGCAGTAAGACGTGCAGTCTGGGATTCCTCGAGGGACGCCTCCCCAGTAATGCTGGCCCCTCTTGAAGATTTCCTGCACACTGGTGATGGGTTGGAACAGCTGCTTTTCTTGTCTCAGCCACGGGCAGAATTCTCCTTTTGCCACCCAATGGCAAACCATAGGGTTTGAAAATGCTGTGATATATTTCTGGAGGTCTGGATGTAAGAGTCTGGGTGTGACTCATGCCATCCTTTGATCTTGGTCCAGACTCGTCTCTGTTTAAAGGATAAATTCTATACATGGTAAAACAAAACAAAATTAACTTTGCAAACAAATTTCTGATTTTAAAAGAATGGAAAAAGTGAAAGATCATGAGTGACTCATATTGTCTTTCCAAGGCATTGTTCTTTCCTACTCATTATATAGTTGGAAAAATTAAGTATTTGACCAATACAAAGCTCTGGCTCTGCTCAGAAGTGCCAACAGAATTTAATTTTCCTGGGTCAAAGGAGAGAGTAGCCCAGCTTCTTTGGGTAACACAAGCTGTTTTGGTTTTGCTCTCTTAAGGTACACATTTTATTTGAACAATTGCAAAATTACTTTATAAAGCAACACTACTTCCATACTAGTGTTGGGAACAAAATTCTTTCATGGAGTCACAAAATACATCAGAAGTAGTGTGTGTCTGTAGTGTAACTAGTCCTTGTGCATCTCATTTTGTCCACCTGAAAACACTGACAATTTACAGAGGCCCTGTCATTAGGAAAAATATTAGCATAAGTGAAATTCAAAACTGCATTGAGCAATTTATGTTTTTTTTATTATTAAAAAGGTTTTTTTCCTTTATAAATAAGATATAACAAATTTATTTGATTATTTTGATTGCTTACCCTGATCATATTAGAATCAACCACTGTCTAGACAACACTTGGTGACAAGGGAGTGGAATTCATATATGGTGTTGAGATGCAGAGTACAAAGGAAGGCATGTAGTATAAATAATTGGTTTAGATCTCTTACTTCTGCGGAGAAGAGTTTGTGCAGTAAGTGCCCTTTAATGTTGCAATACCTGAAGTGCATTAGAGGTATACTGAGCGACTCAGTTTCCTCAGTAGGTGTGCTCTGTCCTGCCTGTTTATAAATTGACCAAACATAGCAATCTTTAGTGTACATCTTGCACATCTATACAAATAACTAATTCTTAATTCTTCCTTTCTAAATTTAGAATTTTTTTACCTTTCACTTTACTGATGGAAAACAGGAAGCAGAGAAGTGTGCAATGATATTCCATAAAACACAAGAGTATGTTGGTCACAGCCTGAAGATGGGACTTATGAATCCCAGACCCTGTGCTCTTCAGCAGCACACCCTACCCTGAGCCTCCAGACTAGCTATGCTGCAATAATAGAGGCTCACAGACTAGAATAATGTTCTGGGAAGAGGGCTAGAGGTTTCTGAAATGTCACCATAACCTCTGTGGGGCACACAACGTGCACAGATGGCATTCTGTTCCCACATGGCAGTATGAATGTACTGCTGGAGAAATGGTTCAGCTGCCATTAGCTAAAGAGGAAGCCAAACTCTCTGGCTGAGGAGGGCAGCTGGTGCCTTGCTGCAGTGAACCCCAGCTCTGCTCTGATCTTTCACACTCACCCGTGGCTCTGAGCACAACCAGCCTTGGGCAAGGCTCCTAGGAAAATAGAGGGAACGCCTGTCGGCTGGTCTACACGCAGATTTGGAGATTTGTTTATGTTGATTTAGAAAGGTTTGTAGCTCTTTGGTTTGCATCAGTGAATTTATATTATCATCATGTGGCTTTCAAACACAATGGGTGATTGTTAAGATTCT